ATCCACTCACCTCGGCCTCCCAAAGCGCTGGGATTACAGGCTGAGCCACCAAGCCTGGCTTGGTATTTTTTTTTTAAAGCTAGGTTTCAGTGTTTTGAAAGTGAACAAAATCAGAATGAGAATATTAGATGATATTAGGAAGTGTTAAATTTGGCATGATAACTTTTTTTGGCAATGTAGGAAAAGTTTTTCTATTTCTCTGTGATTACATACTGAAATAAGGGTGAAATATCGAAGTATGTGATCCATTTCAAAATACTTCAGTATTTGTTTTAAAGCCCAGTTTTGAAACAATTTGACAGGATAATTCATAGTTTGACTTTACAAATTTTTTGGCAATGTGTGAAAGATCTTACAACACATGACTTCTGGCCTGTGTATAAATGCTGTTGAAAATATGCCAGGGCTCGGTGGCTCACACCTATAATCACAGCACTTTGGGAGGCGGAGGCAAGAGGATTGCCTGAGCCCCGGGATTTGAGATCATCCTGGGCAACTTGGCAAGACCTCGTCTCTACAATAAACCAAAAAATTAGCCAGGCATGGTGGCACGTACCTGTGGTTCCAGCTACTTGGAAGGCTGAAACAGAAGGATCGCTTGAGCCCAGCAGGTCAAGGCTGCGGTGGCCATGAGCACGCCATTGCACTCCAGCCTGGGCAACAGAGTGAGACTCCAACTCAAAGAAAAGAAAAGAAAAGAAAATTCCTGTTCACTTTGTCAAGAAACTACTCTGAGAGAAAAGAGTAGAGGCAGACAACCTCATGAACTTCCCAGTAAGTACTTTCAGCTGCACTAGGTCTCAGACCTTTTTGATTTCTGAGTAAGCAAAAATCTGACGATGCCTGGAAATGCTCCAGAACTTTGGAGTGTTCTTTTTGACAGATAATCTTAAAGTTTAAATGTGGATTCCTGAGTCGTCCATTTTTGGAGACGCTTCCAAAAACCATTTCATTTACCTTAGATCAAAGGACATTATTAACTGGGTGTGGTGGCTCATGCCTATAATATCAGCACTTTGGGAGGAGGCCTAGATAGGAGAATTGCCTGATCCCAGGAGTTTGAGACTAGCCTGGGCAACATGGTGAGACCTCATCTCTACAATAAATACATTAAAAAGCAAATCAAAACAAACAGGAAATGATGGACCCTGAATTTAGTTTAGTATTGATCAATTAGGGTTTCCATAACACCCCTTTCTGGAAAAAGAAGTGGAGGAACCTCTGACTTATTTTACTATTACATGCTGGTGTATATTTGTAAGAAAAGATGGTCAGAATTTGGCATAATCAAAATTGAAAATCTCATATCTGTTGGATACCACCATTCTATTGACAATTTTCTGTCTATTCTACTTTCTGTCTCTATGAATTTGACTATTTATTTATTTTGAGTCGGAGTTCCACTCTGTAACCCAGGCTGAAGTGCAGTGGCATGCTCATAGCCACCATAGCCTTGACCTGCTGGGCTCAGGCAATCCTTTCACCTTAGCCTTCCAAGTAGCTGGAACTATAGGTATGCACCACCATGCCTATTTTGAGTTATTGCAGGGACATGGTTTTGCCATGTTGCTTAGTCTGGTCTTGAACCCCTGGGCTCAGGCAGTCCTCTCACCTTTACCTCCCAAAGTGCCTTGACTACTTTAGATGTCTCATGTAAGTGGAATCTTTTTTTTTTTTTTGAGTTGAAGTCTCACTCTGTCGCCCAGACTGGAGTGCAGTGGCCGCTCCCGGCCACTGCAGCCTCGATCTGCTGGGCTCCGGCGATCCTTCTGCCTCAGCCTTCTGAGTAGCCGGAATTACAGGCACGTGCTACCACGCCCGGCTGATTTTTTAAAAAATTTATTGTAGAGATGAGGTCTTGCTGCCCAGGCGGGCCTCGAACCCGCAGTCTCAGGCAATCCACTCACCTCAGCCTCCCAAAGGCGCCGGATTACAGGCTGAGCCACCGAGCCCGGCTTAAGTGGAATCTTAAAATATTTGTCCTTTGTGTCTGACTTATTTCACCTAGCATAATGTCTTCAGGGTTCATCCATGTTGTAGCTTATGGCAGAATTTCCTTTCTTTTTAAGGCTGAATAATATTCCATGTGTGAATAATATTCCATATTTTGTTTATCCATTAATCTGTTGATGGACATTTGTATTTTCCCCCCACATTTGGTTATTGTGAATAATGCTGCTATGAACATAGGTTTACAAATATCTGTTTGACTCCTTGCTTTCGCGTCCTTTGGGTATATATCTAGAAGTGGAATAGCTAGGTTGCATGATAATTCTATGTTCATTTCTTTGGGAAACCACCATACTTATTTGTGCTCTTGGAATTTATTTCCCTTCCCCCCCCAAGAAGTTACTCATAAATAGTATATGAATAAACTATACGATAATAGAAAGATAATTATTGATAAAGATTATTTTTAAGTGGGGTGATAGGTTTATGAAGTGATTTTGTGTGTGTGTGTGTGTTGGAGTCTCACTCTGTCACCCAGACTAGAGTGCAGTGGCCACTCCCGGCCACTGCAGCCTCAACCTGCTGGGTTCCGGCGGTCCTTCCGCCTTAGCCTTCCAAGTAGCAGGAACTACAGGCACGTGCTACCACACCCGGCTAATTTTTTTGATTTATTGTAGAGATGAAGTCTTACCTGCCTAGGCGGGTCTCGAACCCAGGGGCTCAGGCAATCCACTCACCTCAGCCTCCCAAAGGCACGGGATTACAGGCTGAGCCACCGAGCTTGGCTTAAATAATTTTTTGTTTTTTAGTTGGAGTATCACTGTGTCACCCCGACTGGAGTGCAGTGGCTGCTCCTGGCCACTGCAGCCTCGACCTGCTGGGCTCTGGTGATCCTTCCGCCTCAGCCTTCCAAATAGCTGGAACTACAGGCACGTGCTACCACGCCGGGCTATTTTTTTTTTTATTGTAGAGATGAGGTCTAGCCAAGATGCCCAGGCGTGTCTCAAATCCGTGGGCTAAGGCAATCCACTCACCTCGGCCTCACAGAGCGCTGGGATTACAGACTGAGCCACCAAACCTGAAGTGATTTTTTAAAAAACATTTTCTGTATATATTTAGAGATGAGTTCTCAGGCTGGATGAGGTCTCAGTGGCTATTTATGGTATGGTCATTGCATACTGCAGTCTCAAACTCCAAGGCTCAAGTAAATCCTCCTCCCTTAGCCTTCCAAGTAGCTGAGACCACAGCCTTTTGCCACCTTGCCCAGCTCTTTTTCCGTAGATTTTAAACACTCTGCAAAGGAAGAAGCTGAGGCAAAACTTAGCCCAGAAGGTCAATGTTGTGGAGAGCCGAGATTGCACCATTGCACTCCATTCTGGGCGACAGAGTGGCACTCTGTCATTAGGATTAAAAAAAAAAGAGAGAGAGAGACAGGGCAATATTATAAACTTGAGAGCAACCCAATAGTGAGGGTGAGATTGATGATACAAGAGAACGAGAAAGTGATTGAAGGAGCAATGCCCTTGAGAATGCTAGAAGCCTGGGATCCCACATACAAGTGGACGGATTGCCCATTGACAGGAAGAACGTTTTGCTGTTGAAAACAAGTGGAAAGTGCCGGGCGCAGTGGCTCACGCCGATAATCCCAGCACTTTGGGAGGCCGAGGTGAGAGGATTGTCTGAGCCCACGGGTTTGAGACCCGCCTGGCCAACTTGGCGGCACCTCATCTCTACAATCCGTCAAAAAATTAGCCAGGCGTCGTGGCATGCGCCTGTAGTTCCAGCTACTTGGAAGGCTGAGGTGGAAGGAGCGCCTGAGCCCAGCAGGTCTAGGCTGCGGTGGCCGTGAGCGTGCCACTGCACTACAGACTGGGCGACAGAGCGAGACTCCAGCTCAAAAAAATAAAAAAGAAAGAAAAAACAAGTGGAGAGGTTAGAAGAGGGGTGCAGGTACTGACAGTTTTGTAGATTTAGTTGTGGCAAGGTGAGGGAGTCCCTATCTGCAATTTCTCTTTTCTAAGTGAGTGTTCCAGAAAAAGGAGAGGTGCATTCCCAGGGAACGCAATATTCAGAAGGCAAATAAGGGAAGCCAGGTTTGGGGCCACTGTAAATGATTCAGACTAAGAGCGTGTGTAGGACACTGCTTGGAGCGTCAGGAGAGAAGGCAGGAGCATTTAGTCTGCGCCAGATGCGAAGACTCGCGTTCTCAGGCTCCAGGCCAGGGCGGCCTAGGGGAGGAGCCGCACGTGGATCGCCCGGGCCGCGGGGGGTGGGGGGGGTCGCCCCGCGCAGGTCACTTGCGTCCTCAGAGGTTCGGCGCATGCGCGCGGCGCTGCGCAGACTCGCGCTCCATTACCTTTTTCTGTGTTTTCCGTGCTGCCCCCGGTCCCGCCGATTCTCCCTGGCCACAGTTTACAGTCCCCGCGCTCAGGATGGAGCCGCTGGACGAACTGGAGCTGCTGATGGAGAAGAGTTTCGGGAAGGAGGCTGCGCTGCCGGCGAAGCTGTGAGCGGAGCGGGGGCAGGGTGTGGGAACAAAGCGGGAGATTTGAAAAGAAAGAGCGGGGAGGCCGCAGCCACGCCTCGCCCGCAGGGGGCCGAGTGACCCTTGCAGCGCCCGGGGCCCCGGGTCCCCCGCAGCTGGGGTCGGCTTCCCAAGGTTTGGGGCCACTCTCCACCAGAGTCTGAAGTCCCAAGGTTTGGGGCCACTCTCCTTCGCCGCGCAGTTCTTTCCCTTTATTTCATCTCTTTCCCGAATTTGGGAAGTCTGAGATGTCTTCATAAAATGAAATTGCGACTGCCTGATGCTTTTCTCCCTGTTTAGTTGGAGAAGCTACCCCTTGGGAGAGCTCTGCACCCTCAGCTCGGCGTAAATGGTCGCAGGAACCTCACCTGTTGTAATGTAGACTCATGTTCAGTGTTATAGTGGTGATGCTGGTTAGTGTTGGGGGACATTTGCCTTTGGAGTTTTGATTAGCAATACCTTTTGAGAGATCCTTAAGGCATCGCAGCTTTCCTGGGACGTTCATAGTCCGAGGCTAGGTGGGATCCTTGAATAAAGCGTTTACAAAAGAAAACAACCCGCAGCCAGGTGACAAAGTTAACTCATAGGGTACTGTGAAAGGCGTTTGGCGTTATAGCTCGGGAGACAGTGTCTGTGGACTCTCATCTGGTCTCTCACTGCTGGAGCAGTCAAACGGGGTACTTAAGAGCTGCTTAATAGGGGAAGGACTGTTTTCTAGAGGAGAGATTATTGTGCATAATTTTAGACGGCTTGGACCACTGCATAAGAGTATTGTGAAAATGAATTGCCCGTTATCAATATAAATGAGAAACTTCTGAATTAGTCTCTAAAGGAATGAGCCTCTGAGGTGGGTATTAAGCTTGCTTTCTCTATGAAGCAAAGGCTAGTGGATTCTCAGTGAGATTTTATAGAAGGGTTTCCTGCATTATATCATAAGTTGGACTAGATGATTTCTTTTTTGTGTGTATGTGAGTCAGAGTCTCACTCTGTTGCCCAGGCTGGAGCAGCCCTGATCTGCTGGGCTCAGGCGATCCTCCTGCCCCAGGCTTCCAAGTAGCTGGAACTACAGGCACGTGCCACCACAGCCCGCTAATTTCTTGATGTATTGTGAGATGCCCCGCTAATTTTATTATTTATTGTAGAGACAAGGTCTTGCCAAATTGCCTAGGGTGGTCTTGAACCCCTGGGCTCAGGCAGTACTCTTGCCTCCACCTCCCAAAGTGCTGGGATTACAGGTGTGAGTCACCGTGCCCGCTAGGTGATTTCTCTTTTTTCTTTTTTTTGAGTTGGCGTCTCACTCTGTTGCCCAAACTGGAGTGCAGTGGCCACTCCCGGCCCCTGCAGCCTTGACCTGCTGGGCTCCGGCGATCCTTCCGTCTCAGCCTTCCAAGTAGCTGGAACTACAGGCGTGCGCCACCACGCCTAGCTAATTTTTTTTTTTTTATTTTATGATAGAGATGAGGTCTTGCCAAGTTGCCCATGCAGGTCTCGAACCCATGGGCTCAGGCAGTTCACTCACCTTGGCCTCCCAAAGTGCCGGGATTACAGGCTGAGCCACCGAGCCTGGCCCGCTAGATGATTTCTAAGTACAATTCTGTGGTGCATGGTAGGACTTCCAGTGAACCATCTAAACCATACTTCCATAGTGTCTCTTATTTACTAAAAGGATAGTGTCCAAAACATCTTGTAAACTTGTGCTTTGGAAAGCTTGCACTGGTGGTAAAAATTTGTTAATATTTTCCAGTTTATTATTTACGTGTTTAGAGATGCGGTATTGTTGTAGACCAAGTGGGGGTGCAGTTGTGCAATCTCATTTCAATGTAACTTTGAATTCTTGGGCTTAAGTGATCCTTCCACTTAAGTCTCTTGAGTAGTTAGGACTACAGGTGCACACCACTGTGCCCGTCTTCCTATGTATACCTTTTTTTTTTTTTTTTGGTAGAGATAGGGGTCTTGCTGTATTGCCCATACTGGTCTTGAACTCCTGGCCACAAGCAGTTCTCCCACCTTGGTCTCCCAAGGTGCTGGGATTATAGATGTGAACCAACATGCCTAGCCCCAGTGTATTTTAGATTTTCATAGTGATGGTATCCCACAGAACTCACAGAGATTAAAATGGAAAATTTCATATCATGAGCATATTTTTTTTAGAGTCGGAGTCTCTGTTGCCCACATTGGAGTACAGTGGCATGCTCATGGCTACCACAGCCTCAACCTGCTGGGCTCAGGCACTCCTACCTCGGCCTTCCAAGTAACTGGAACTACAGGCACACACCAGCACGCATAGCTTTATTTATTTATTTATTTATTTTAGAGACGAGGCCTTGCCAAGTTGCCCAGGCTCGTCTTGAGCCCTGGGCTCAGACAGTCCTCTTGCCTCTGTCTTCCAAAGTCCTGGAATTATAGGTGTGAGCACTGTGCCCAGCTCATATCATGAGCATATTTTAAATGGCATTGTTTCCGGAAAGTTTTTATAATTATAAATCATAAAGCTAAATTCTTCTACTATGTCTTTGTTTTCTTCCTATTTTAGCTGAATGTCATTGTGGTAAGTTTTTCCAGAAAAAACAAACATAGAAAACTACAAGGTTGGTTTGTAGATAAAACAGATTAGGTGACTTCTTGTTTCATGGTTGTGCTAATATTTTTGTGTGTATGCTTTAGATTTCAGAAGAAGGTGATAGCTTCCTTTCCTGGAACAGTTCTGAGCCGGGGAGTGGATAACCGGTACCTGGTGTTAGCTGTCAATATTGTACAGAATGAAGAGGGGAACCATGAGAAGCACCTCATCATCACTGCTTCCCAGTCGTTAGACTATAAAGAACGGTGCATCCTTAGGAATGACTGGTAATTTTTGTGCAACTGTGAGCACTGATTTGGCAGCATTTTATTATATTTTTGAGTAAAAGTCTCACTCTGTCACCTAGACTGAAGAGCAGTGGCACTATCACTGCTCACTGCAGGCTCAACTTCCTGGGCTCAGGCAATCTTTCCGTATCAGTCCCTCAAGTAGCTGGGACTACAGGTGTGTGCCACCATGCCTGGCTACTTTTTAAGTTTTTTTGTAGAGACAAGGTCTCACTATATTGCCTAGACTTGTCTCAAACTTCTGGGCTCAGAACACTTCCCAGAGTGTTCGGATTATAGGTATGAGCCACTGTGCCTGGCCTGATTTGGCAGTTTTAATGGTTCTAGCTTAAAACCATTAAATGGCTTGTGTGAGTGTTACTATAATTTTCTTTTTTCTTTTTTTTGAATTGGGGTCTCACTGTGTCACCCAGGCTGGCATGCAGTGGCACAATCACGGCTTACCACAGCTTCCACGTCCTGGACTCAGGTGGCAATCCATCTACCTCAGCCTCCCAAGTAACTGGGACCACAGATGCCACTCCTCCCGGCTAATTTTTTTATTTTTCGGTAGAGGTCTTGCTATGTTGCCTAGGCTGGTCTTGAACTCCTGGGCTCAAGTGATCCTCCCACCTCAATCTCCCTAAGTGCTGGGATTACAGGCATGAGCCACCACGCTTGGCCTTAATTGTTAAAAAAGGAGTAAATTTAGCTGGGCTCGGTGGCTCAGCCAGTAATCCCACGCCTTTGGGAGGCTGAGGTGAGTGGATTACCTGAGCCCGCGGGTTCGAGACCCGCCTGGGCAGCGAGACCTCATCTCTACAATAAATCAAAAAATCAGCCGGGCGTGGTAGCGCACGCCTGTAGTTCCAGCTACTTGGAAGGCTGAGGCGGAAGGATCGCCGGAGCCCAGCAGGTCAAGGCTGCGGTGGCCGGGAGCGGCCACTGCACTCCAGTCTGGGCAACAGAGTGAGACTCCAACTCAAAAAAAAAAAAAAAGGAGTAAATTTGAAACTGACTTAATTCTACCTGAAAGTTGTGTCTATTACCCTAACATCTCAACTCTCTATTCTAAAAGTTTCTTTTTATTGTCTTTTGAAAATTAAGTACAAAGATGCTTATTAGTGACATTCTGTTTTATTTAATTAATTAATTACTTAATTTATTTTTTGAGTTGGAGTCTGACTGTGTTGCCCAGGCTGGAGTGCAGTGGCACGCTCATGGCTGCCACAGACTCAACCTGCTGGGCTCAGATGATCCTTCCGTCTCAGCCTTCCAAGTAACTGGAACTACAGATGTATGCCATCATGCCTGGCTACTTTTTAATTTATTTATTGTAGAGATGAGGTCTCACCAAATTGCCCAGGCTGATCTTGAACCTCTGAGCTCAGGCAATTCTCTTGTCTCTGCCTCCCAAAGTGCTGGGATATCAGGCGTGAACCGCCACACCCAGCAAAATTCCGTTTTAAGATTGTAGCTTAAAACTCCTGTTAGTTTTTTTTTTTTTTTTTTTTTTTTGCGTCAAAGTCTTACTCTGTCACCCAGGCTAGAGTACAGTGGCACACTCATGGCCACCGCAGCCTCAACTTGCTGGACTCAGGTGATTCTTCTGCCTCAGCCTTCCAAGTAGTTGGAACTACAGGCATGCACCACCATGCCCAGCTAATTTTTCTTGATTTATTGTAGAAACGGGGTCTCAACCAAGTTGCCCAGGCTGGTCTCGAACCCCTGGGCTCTTGCCTCAGCCTCCCAAAGTGTTGGAATTATAGGCTTGCGCCACCGTGCCTGGCCCAAACGCCTGTTAGTTTTAACTAAGCACAGAATTAATTACAACATAACATTCTTAGATCTTCAATTTCTCTACTCCAGGTGTAGTGTGTGAGGGGTGGAGTAGAGATGCAGAGGGTGGCGGTCTACTTTTGGCTCTTTGTCTAGGATGTGAATTAATTTGAATTAGGTAGATATGATTTTATTCTTGTTAAACTGCGTTTGGCTTCAAGACTTACAGAAGTTATAAATTGGCTGTAAGTCTTAAGAATGAGAGAATTAGCTGGGCATGGTGACTCACACCTGTACTGTAAGTACTTTGGAGATGGAGGCGGAGGCAAGATTAGCAGGTATGGTGGCACATGCCTGTAATCCCAGTAGCCTAATCATAGCTCACTGTAATCTCGACCTTCTGGGTTCAAGGGACTCCCACTCACCTCAGCCTTTCAAGTAGCTGGGACTACAGGTGTATGTCCCCATACCTGGCTGATTTTTAAAATTTTTTGTAGAAGCAGGGCCTCCCTATGTTGACCTGGCTGATCTCAAGCTCCTGGGCTCAAGTGATCCTCTTACCTCCCAAATGCTGGGATTGTAAAGCCTGAGGCACCTCAGCTGGCCCTTGCTTATTTTTGAAACCTCTCTAATATGTTTAAATGTAGGAACCTAAGCTATGTATTTATACTTTGGCCTTGCTTTATTTTCAGGTATTCTGTACTAGTAGAACCAGGAGATATCATTCATTTGGAGGGAGACTGCACATCTGATACTTGGATAATAGATAAAAGTTTTGGATATTTGATTCTATATCCAGACATGCTGATTTCTATCACAAGCATCGCAAACAGTATTCGATGTATGAGAAGAGCTGTCCTGAGTGAAACTTTTAGGGTAAGTAATATTAGCACTTTGTGTTTCTACAAAATCTTGAGGTTTGCAGAGCATTTTTACATCTGTTGTTTCTTCTAATCCTCCCAGCAATCCTGTAAATAGGTGGTGTTAATCAGCTGCATTTTTTTTTTTTTTTTTGAGTTGGAGTCTTACTCTGTCGCCCAGACTGGAGTGCAGTGGCCGCTCCCGGCCACCGTAGCCTCGACCTGCTGGGCTCCAGCAATCCTTCCGCCTCAGCCTTCTGAGTAGCTGGAATTACAGGTGCGCACTACCACGCCCGGCTAATTTTTATTTTATTTTATTGTAGAGATGAGGTCTTGCCTGCCTAGGCGGGTCTTGAACCCGTGGGCTCAGGCAATCCAATCACCTCAGCCTCCCAAAGGCGCGGGATTACAGGCTGAGCCACCGAGCCCGGCTATCAGCTGCATTTTACAGATGAGGAAAGCAGGCTCAGAGAGGTTAAAAGATGGCCCCTAGTTGCACAGCCTGGACGTAGCAGTGCTGGGATTCACGGTCAGGCGCTGTGTCCTCTGAAGCATGTTCAGCACTTAGTAAAATCGTAATTATAATGATAAGAAAGATAATTTAAGTGATGAGTTTTTTAATGTAAGCCAAATTTGGCTTCATGTGGTTCCCAAGAAACTAAAAATAAATATGTTGGTCTCCTTTAGAAAAATTATTTCAGAATATTTCAAACATACACAAAGAGATGATTATAATAAACCCCCATGTACCCAACACTAAGCTTTTTATTTATTTGTTTTTTCTGGAAATATCCAGCTTTAATAACCAACATTTTGGTGTTCTCAAAATGACAGCTGAGAATTTTTTAAAAACTGATATATAATACTTTTATTATACCCAATGAAGTTAACAGTAATTCCTTAATCTAAAGCCAGGTTTATCTCAAATGTCTTTTATCAAAAATACTTTTTATTTAATTGGTTTGTTTGAATCAGTATCCAAACAAGGTCCTAGTGTTTCTTCCTTTTTTTTTTTGAGTTAGAGTCTTACTCTGTTGCCCAGGCTGGGGTGCAGTGACATGCTCATGGTCACCGCAGCCTCATCCTAGGCTCAGGAGATCGTTCTACTTCAGCCTTCCAAGTAGCTGGAACTATAGGCATTCGCTACCACACCTGGCTAATTTTTTTTTGTTTTTGGGTCAGAGTCTCACTCTGTCACCCAAGCTAGAGTGCAATGGCACACTCATGACCACCACAGCCTCGACCTGCTGCACAGGTGATACTTCTGCCTCAGCCTTTCAGGTAGCTGGACACAGGCATGCACCACTACACCCAGCTAATTTTTTGATTTACTGTGGAGATGAGGTCTTTCAAGTTGTCCAGGCTGGTCTCGAATCCCTGGGCTCAGGTAATCCTCTTGTCTCTGCCTCCCAAAGTGCTGGGATTACAGGCATGAGCCACTACCTCAGAGGTCCTAGTATTTCACATGTCTAGTATTTCATATGTTTCTTAAGTTTCTTTAAGTCTGTTATAGTTTTGCCTTCGACTCACCCCATGTGTTTCAGTGCCATTTATTTGTTGAGGAACCTGGGTTATTTACTAAAAGTTTTTCCCCTCCTTCTAGGATATTTTTAAATTATATAATTTATGTGTATGTAGAAAACTAAAAATCTAGCTGGGCAAGAAGCGCTAAAGAGAGAAAAATACTGAAATGGATTTTCTAATAGTTTTGTCACTTATTTGTAGTGGATTTTATCTTTGGATTCTATTAGCTTTGGTGCTTGAATTGTGGAGGTATAATAACTTCTTTTTTAACGAAATTATATGAATAGTGAATGTTACTATTTAAAAAACTTTTTGTTTTGATATAATTTTGGCTCACATAGAATTTGAAAAATAGCACAGAGAGTTCCTCTGTAACTTAATTTTTAAAATTCCTCTGGAGTTTTGGTACAGGTCATCAGGCTTTTTGGTAGCTTTAGAGGATAGGGTTAGGCTAGTGAAAGAGTTAATTGAGAAATGAAGTACTGTCTCTTTGAATGGAGAGAACTTTTTTGCCAAAAATCTGCTGTAGGTTTGGATGACACTTTTACTTGCATGAGTTTATCAGCAATACCTCTATTGACTTTTCCACTTGGGTGGATTATAACATGAAGTTCGAGAAGAAAAATACTTTTAAAATATTACTTATTTGAGAATACATTGTCCTTTTTATTTCTTTTTTCTTTTTTTTGAGTGGCATCTCACTTTGTTCCCCAGGCTGGAGTGCAGTAGCAGGCTCACAGCCACCGCAGCCTCTACTTGCTATGTTCAGGCAATCCTTCCTCCTCAGTTTTCCAAGTAGCTGGAACTACAGGCGTGTACCACCACGCCTGGCTAATTTTCCTTAATTTATTGTAGAGACGTGGTCTCACCAAGTTGCTCAGGCTGGTCTCAAATCCCTGGACTCAGGCAGTCCTCTTGCCTCAACTTCCCAAAGTGTTAGGGTTATAGGTGTGAGCCACCGCGCCTAGCCTGAGAATACATTTTCATATTGGTTATTTTAATTTTTTTGAAATATAGTGATTTAAAAAGTTTTTTAAAATATAGTGATTTTTAAGATAACTCATACTTGTAAAATAATTCAGATAATTCTGAGTAGAAGAAAGTGAAAGTCACCTGTAATTCCACCCACTGGAAAAAAACATTGTTTAATTTTTAAATTTTTAAAAATTTTTTTGAGTTGAAGTCTCACTCTGTTGCTCAGGAGATCCTTCTGCTTCAGCCTTCCAAGTAGCTGGAACCAAGGTGAGGACTGCCACACCTGGCTAAATTTTTTTGGTTTGTTTGGATTTATTGTAGAGATGAGGTCTTGCCAAGTTGCCCAGCCTGGTCTTGAACTCCTGGACTCAGACAACCCTTTCACCTCCATCATCCAAATTGATGGGATTATAGGCATGAGCCACTGTGCCTGGCCATCGTTTAATATTTTGTCATTTGTCATGTCTGTGCATTTTGGCTGTGTGGTTTAATAGATTAGGTAATAAATATACAATTATGTCTGTTAATATGTTGAGAAGTACAATGTATGATTTGTTTTCATAGAGCTCTGATCCAGCCACACGTCAAATGCTAATTGGTACAATTCTCCATGAGGTATTTCAAAAAGCTGTAAGTGACAGCTTTGCTCCAGAAAAGCTACAGGAACTTGCTTTTCAAACTATTCAAGAAATAAGACATTTGAAGGAAATGTAAGTAGTTATGAGAAGAACTGCTGTATAATTTTATTATATAACTTCTTTCCTAGAATCTATAAGGTATTTGGATGTTAGACGACTCACTACAAATTAGTGTAACCTAGAATGCAGATTCCAAGGTTGCAGTACCCTGTTACAACTCTCTGAAGAGTTTCTTAAGTTGTCCAACAGTACCTTTTTGGGTATTAATATCTAAGTATTTTGTACATGTGCATAATAGATTCCTCAGCTGCTTTCTGAAATGTGTAAAAACTCTTTTGCATTAGTTTTGGACACAGTGTGACATACTGAAAATTGTATGAGTTTGGGAGTCAGGCTAGTTTCAGAATCAAACTTTGCCAAGTTTATGACAAAACATTTCTTAAAGATTCTGAGAAAGGCAGTAATACCTATTTTTTTTTTTTCTTTTGAGTTGGAGTCTCACTCTGTTGCTCAGGCTGGAGTGCTGTGACACACTCACTGCCACCCCAGCCTCAACCTGCTGGGCTCAGGCGATCCTTCCACCTCAGCCTTTCAAGTAGCCGGAACTACAGGTGTGTGCTACCATGCCTGGCTAATTTATTTCTTTATTGTAGAGACAAGGTTTCATCATTTTGCCCAGACTGGTCCCAAACCCGTGGGCTCAGGCAGTTCTCTCACCTCGGCCTCCCAAAGTGCTGGGATTCCAGACTTGAGCCACTATGCCTGGCAATAATATTTTTAATGTTTTTGTACACTGGAGATAATGTTTGTCATGTACGTAAAATGGCTAATTATTGGCATTTTGCAAGAGATTGTCATGTTCTACTTTCTCCGTTTTTTCTTGACTCCTTCCTGTGTAGTCCACTTTTTTTTTTTTGCAGAAATGTTTCTATTAGTGATTTTGATTTCCAGACTAGTTGACGTATCAGCATTTTCCAGAACAGAGTGCTGGGGTTAACATTTTTTAAGTTTATATGGGAACTGAAATTTTATACAACTGACTTATTAATGACATCTTATAATCTATTGTCCTGAAAACATTTTGGAACTCTGTCTCATGCCAGGTACTGAGTTCAGTGCTTTTGGAAGTCTTATATAGTCTGATTGCACCCTGCATGCAATAGATGAAGAAACTAAAGCCCAGGGAAGTTGTCACTTGCTCACAGACACATAGTAGGACAATTATAATACAAATAGATTTAATACAGCTTTGGCTTTGGTAGTCAAGTTTTACTCTCTCCTTATTTGCTACTTTGTGTTTTTCATTTTCGCCTTTTTTGTCACACCCTAATTAGCATATGGTAATATGTTATCTATTGGGCATTATATTTATTATCTATTGCCATGAAACAAATTATATCAAATCTTAGTAGCTTAAGGTGACAGGCATCTATTATCTCAATTTCTGAAGGTAGGAATTGTAGACGTAGCTTATCTTTGGTCCTCCCATGTGGATCTTTGATGCAGGGTTGTGGTCATTGAAGTTTTGACTTGGGTAGATCTGCTACCAAGATGGCTTACTCACATAGCTGTTGGCAGGAGGTCTCAGTTCCGGTCCATAGGTCTGCCTGGTGTGTTTCTAGGACACAGTACTGCTTCCTCCAGGTGGAACGGTCCAAGAAAGAGAGTAAGCAATAAGCCACAGTGCCTTTTATAACCTAGTCTCTGAATTTGTACATTGTCATTTATGGTTTTTTTTTTTAACTTATTAGGTACAAGTCACTAAGTCCAGCTCTCCTTCAAAGGTAGAGGACTCGGGTGCCTTGTTTGGAAGGGAATAGCAAATAACTTGTGGGAATATTTTATTTTTAAATACTTAATTAGTTAATATTTTAAATTGACAAATAGAAATTATATGTTTATCCTGTTTAGCATGATATTTCAAAATATACACTCCAGTGCCTCGGTCAACATCTGTATTACACTTTTTTTTTTTTTTTGAGTTGGAGTCTCACTCTGTGGCCCAGACTGGAGTGCAGTGGCCGCTCCCGGCCACCGCAGCCTCAACCTGCTGGGCTCCGGCGATCCTTCCGCCTCAGCCTTCCAAGTAGCTGGAACTACAGGCACGTGCTATCACGCCCGGCTAATTTTTTGATTTATTGTAGAGATGAGGTCTCGCCAAGTTACCCAAGTGGGTCTCGAACCCATGGGCTCAGGCAATCCACTCACCTCAGCCTCCCAAAGGCACGGGATTATAGGCTGAGCCACCGAGCTGGGCTTACATTTATTTTTTTATGGTGAGAACACTTGCAATCTATTGTTTTAGCAGATTATCAAAATAAAAATACATTGTTATTAATTATAGTCACCATGTTATACAGGAGATCTTTGAAATTATTCCTCCTACTTAACTGAAATTTTGTATCTTTTTACTTGCATCTCTCCACCCATATCCTCCCCCCCCCCAGCCTCCCATCTTGTGGACATATTTTGAATCACCACAGATACTGAGGTATCAGGCAACCTGATTAGTCTAGAATCCAGGTTGAAAAAAAAGAAGGAGCAGCAAGATTTGAGTTCATGAAGTTTATGTACCAAACTTTTGCAGTTTACATAATAGAGTGTCTCTCATTCCCTCAACATGTTTTTATTTTTTGCTAATTTCTAAATAGTCCTGGTTATCTGATTTCTAGGATGCAGCAGGGAATAAGGGGGCTGCTATAGAGATACACCTTCATGGTCATTCAAGATGAGAGTGGATGTCTTCATTACAGGATAGAAGAAAGAAACTATTTACAAACTCAAGGCCAGGCACAGTGACTTATGCCTGTAATCCCAGCACTTTGGGAGACAGAGGAAAGAGTATTGCCTGAACCCAGGGGTTTGAGACCAGCCTCGGTAATATAGCAACACCTCTTCTCTACAATAAATCAAGAAAAATTAGCTGGGTGTGGTGGCACATGCCTGTAATTCCAGCTACTTGGAAGACTGAGGCAGAAGGATCATCTGAGCCCAGCAGGTTGAGGCTGCGGTGGCAGTGAGCGTGTCACTGCACTCTAGCCTGGGACAACAGTGAGACTCTGACTCAAAAAAAATAAAAATAAAAACTCAAGAATTGGGAAGGTCACGGTTTTGATGGGATTCATTCTTAGCAGATCCTTGAGTATCACCAAATTGTATTGTTATTTATCATGCTATTCCTAGTTATTAAGGGAAAGCATGATGGATTTCCTTATGAAGATGCTAATTCTCTCCCAGTTCTTCCCATTTAAAGTAGTGTCAATCCTGTTCAAGGAAATGCTTTTTTTTTTTAGTCAGAGTCTCACTCTGTTGCCCAGGCTGGAGTGCAGTAGTACGCTCATGACCACCCTAGCCTTGACCTGCTGCACTCAGGTGATCCTTCTGCTTCAGCCTTCCAAATAGCTGGAGCTACAGGCATGTGTCACCATGCCTGCTAATTTTTTAAAATTTATTGTGGAAATGAATTCTCGCCATATTGCCCAGGCTGGTCTCGAACCCATGGGCTTAGGCAGACCTCTCCCCTCTGCTTCTCAAAGTGCTAGGATTATAGGCATGAGCCACCGCTCCTGGTCATATGTTGTTTTGTTTTGTTTTTGGTTCTTTTTGAGTTGGAGTCTCACTCTTGTTGCCCAGACTGGAGTGCAGTGGCATGCTCACAGCCACCGCAGCCTTGATCTGCTGTACTTAGGCGATCCTTCCACCTCAGCCTTCCAAGTAGCTGGAACTACAGATACACACCACCACAGCCGGCAATTTTTTTTGTGATTTATTGTAGAGACAAGGTCTCATCAAGTTTCCCAGGCTGGCCTTGAACCCTTGGGCTCAGGCAGCCCTCTTGCCTCAGCCTCCCCAAGTGCTGGGATTGCAGGCTGAACCACCACGCCTGGCCCATATGTTGTTTTAATAGCACAAGAGGGTATATAGTAAAAGTAAGTCTCTTCTAAAGTGTCCCTCTAGTCTCCCGGTTCCTCACCCTTGAGGCAACCACTGTTACCAGTTTCTTTTATGTCCTATACAGAGATTCAAAGAGATTTCAAGCATTTATATGTGATGCTGTGCATATATATTTATGTTTTTATATAAATGGTATCACACTATACATATTATTGTGATTTTAATGATGAACTCTTGGTGATTATTTCATATCAGTACTTATTTAGAGACAAAGTCTTACTCTGTCACCCAGGCTAGAGTGCAGTGTTGCAGTCCTAGAGCTCACTGTAGCCTCAAAACTCCTGTGCTCAAACAATCCTCCTGCTTCAGCCTCTGAAAGTAGCGAGATTACAGCTGTGAGCCACTGCACCTGGTCGTTGTTAGTACTTATTGAGCTGCTGCTTTTTTTTTTTTTTTAATCGAGTCTCAGTCTGTCACACCCGGCTACTTTTTTGACTTATTGCAGAGACGAGGTCTTGCCAGGTTGCTCAGGCTGGTTTTGAATTCCTGGGCTCAGGCAGTCCTCTTGCCTCCACCTCCCAAACACTGAGGATTACAGGTATGAGCCACTGCACCTGGCTCATTTTTAATTAACAGTGACATAGTCTTTTCACTGTTCCAAGTCTGCTGACATTTCAATCTTTGCTTTTATAAACAATGGTATAATTAATACCTTTGTACATCCTTTATTTTCTACTTGTTCTAGCATATCTCTTGGCTCAATACCTAGAAGTAGAATTGGTGGGACAGGGTATATGCATTTAAACATTTTTTTCTTTTTCCCAGCATTCTTTTTTTTTTTTAATTTTAATTTTTTTATTTTAAAGATTTTTTTTTTTTTTTTTTTTTTTGAGTTGGAGTCTCACTCTGTCGCCCAGACTGGAGTGCAGTGGCTGCTCCCGGCCACCGCAGCCTCGACCTGCTGGGCTCCGGCGATCCTTCCGCCTCAGCCTTCCAAGTAGCCGGAATTACAGGCATGCGCTACCACACCGGGCTGATTTTTTGATTTATTGTAGAGATGAGGTCTTGCCAAGTTGCCCAGGTGGGTTTCGAACCCGCGGGCTCAGGCAATCCACTCACCTCAGCCTCCCAAAACACGAGATTACAGGCTGAGCCACTGAGCCTGGCTTATTTTAAAG